GAGATGCATTCTTTCGCAAAGGGCAATTCATGATGTGTGCAATGCGATTGGAATCCTACATTCGGATCAAAATCGACTACATAAAATAAAAAAAGATTGCCTCCAGAATGCCTCCAATTGGTGCAAACCGTAATTGCACAAATCACTGGCAATATGATATGTCAATATCACAGAGAAAAATACAGAAAAAATGCATTAATTTACATTCATATTATTTTCATTCCTACCTTATTTATGAATATAATGTCGAATTATTTATAACCTTATTTTTAGAGTTATTAACAAGGCATTTATTCTGCATGAAGAGTGTTTATATATTCTAACGTTTGAAAGAAAATTTGAGTTAACCAGTTTTTGCAATATCAATCGTCCTCCTTGAATTAAAGGAAACGAAAGTTAATCTATGTTAGAATGTCAATTATCCTTCACTTTCATGTTCCGACACCTGTCTCTTCATGAAGTTGATGGTACCGTGCTGATCTCCGTTTCTATGCTATCAGCCAAGACTGACACTGTTTAAAGGCAGAATCTATAGCCACGTAGTCGCCTGTTTCTCTTCAACAAAATGGTACTGATTCATCAAATTCGAAAGGACGAAGGGCGAGTGACCTGATAGCAATCAGGGCTTGAACCTAGGACCTATCAGTTATGACAGTTCGGTGCTACCAATTGAGCAACTCCACTCTGAAGCAACGTGTGGCAAATCTGTTCTAGAAAACTCACGAATAAGACAAAGATAGTCATCGAACAGAGTCGAACCAGAAACTTTCGTTCAAGGCAAACCTGTTAGAAATCTGTGCCCACACGCCACATTGTGGTGTATGGACAGAATTACGAACGCTTTAAAAAAGACAAGTACCATCTGAAGTCCGCAAAAACGTAAATGTTCAGATGCGAGGTGTGCTATAAACAGGAAAACTTATATATCTACTGCCCTGATAAAAATGGAATGTGTCCGGTAGCTTAGAAAGTAAATGAATAATAAGAGTGAAAAGAGCGGACGAGCATCTAGAAAAAGTGGTATACAAACTCTAACGGTCAGGGAGGAGAATAAGGTAAAGGAAGAAAAGGTGGCGATACGAAACTGGGAACAGTGACTTGAAATTTTAACCATAATCAAGGAATGTGAACGAAAATGATGTCAACGGCTGACGTCAGTTAAAGGGAAAACGCTAAGGAACGACAGAAAATTGCCATTGCCATTGCCAGAAAACCACGTTTTCACTATACCGAAGAAAAGGCAGGTAAAAAATTCTAAACATAGAAAGACTTCCATCTCAGGATGGGTAATTTTTAAAGCTGAATGTAGGTTTGAGGTTTCTGATTCTGCGCGTGTAGTTATAAACAAGTGGGTGAACGATTCATGTTTATGAGCGTAAAGTAGAAAATTGTGAAAATTTTATAACCAACGCGTTTCGTTCACGCACACCCTAGCATCATCAGCATTGTACAGTATGGATATGCCATCATTATACGGTGTCACACCGTTAAACTTGGCAATCGCACCAGCATACACAACACCAGAGCCAAAACGACAGTGTTGAAGCATATATGGTGAACGAACTGAGGTCGTACCAGTCGTTGGCCACGAACGAAAAATATTCTATAACCCTTGAATAGATATCTGTTTTCTTAGAGTATCAAGGATGCTAAATGCAAACGTTCATTTCACGGAACTTACCAAGCACAACTCATTCCAGTGTCAACAATAATATTAACAAATGTATTTGTTACCGTCTAGAATGGTAATCCATCCATACTGTTATGGACTTACATTAAGTTGCTTTTCATTCCGGATTGGTAATATGTGATTCTGACTACATCACGCCCCAAGCATCGACCTACATCGACCTACAAAGCTATGACGTAAACTTGAACATGGAAGCGGTAATGTGGAGGCTTAGAAATGGGCCTTGGCTTAATAATAATCTGGCAATTCGACGATACTATAGGATTGACCTGGATCGCACATCAGTTTCGTTCCCTACTGGAACTGGGAGATCATCGTTCTGCATGGCAACACGTACAACTGAATGGTTGCCAGGGCTTGCAGTCTACCGTCCCTTTAGTGCAAGGCAGTGCTCGAATATCATTCTGTATTTTAATCTTGTAAAATGAAAGGCAAACGATCGGGTGAGACTCGAATCCATGACCTTTCCACTGAGCTATCATTATTAGAGCTCACATCCACTCCAATATACAGATCACTGTTTTTCACCTGTGAAAGTCGACATGTACGGTACCAAGTGGAGTAAATACCACAAGATTAAAACAAATTCCAACTTATCATGCAAGCTAACACACTGACACAAGTGATCACAACTACACATGAGGCACTTTATAACATCTACTTGTTAGCCTTACTCTAAATATCACTCTCATCCACAAGACTAGTGGCACGTTATCAAAAAAGGCATAAAACGTGATCTCATCGTAAATAGCGATGTTTTGCTACCGGTGTCGTGCCTGACCGCACGAGAAATGCTGCTAATTAACTTTCCCTCCTTCTGTTAATCATCTAACCTTTCGTGATTCTTGTCTTCGTTCTGTGTTAACAGTCAAACCTTACAAATCAATCATATAAATTTAGTCCAATGATCTCATGACAATACTTCGCTCAAATTTCAAGGGATTTGCGCTCTTGCTTCTCAGGAACAATTTTTGCATCAACAGATTTCAACAAACCATGTAAAAGAGCAGTTTCACCTGAGCAATAAATCCTACGCTGTTAATCCCTCATTCAGTGCACGGTAGTCATAGGTGTTCGTGCAAAAACTATGATTTTCTTTTCAAACCTATGTTAAACACGATGAATACCGATGTCCTAACGTTTATTAGGTTTCATGCTCAGGTGATCCTTAGTTATTTAATAGGTAGATCAAAATGAAATGTCTGTTATTTCTTGTTATAAACGAATTAATCAAACTACATATATCACCCCCCAACTTGACCATGCTCATCAATCGTACGTGGCGCGGACTATTACTCGGAATTCGCGCAAGGAGTGCAATCTGAACTGGATATGATCACTACATGGTCGTAACGGCACTATGTGCAAAATCTAAAGTACAACATCGACGTGGCGTGGTTGAAACATCAGCAGTTGAATGTTGGCTACAATATGCGATAGCGGCGCAGTCGGTCTACCGAATAGAGATGGAGTGCAATTTTTCTCCGCCACCTCAAGCAGCCAGTTGTGAAGTATTAAAGACCTCAGATATACCATCATTTCTTTAGCAAAGAAAAACGTAATCGGTGTTAAGAAGAGGTTAGCCACACTGCCATAGGTCTCGGAGACCATATCAGCCTTATAAAGTTGAGGAACGAAGCGAAGGATGAGTAGATGCAACATCGTATTGCACCTCGAAGGCAACTCATCGTCGTCTTGATTGTGCAGTTAACCAGAGCTACAGGCAGGATGCGGCCGGGCAGGGGACTTTGATAGGATGAAATATGGAAGATCCATAAGTCAGTTAGAAAGCCTTGACCGATGAACACTGTTCCAAGGAATACGGTAGATTCCGACAAGAGAAGAACTCAGTTAACCGTTATCCAAAACGATAAGAGTGTCGATACGGAAGATAGAGAACGTCTGAAAAATATTAGCTCTGCCTTTTCAGTAACTGCTGAAAAATGTCCTCAAGATTGAGGCTTGCGACTGCCGATTTCCTACAACCTATAGTAGACCT